TTTTTTTAGGTTATGGGCATATTGCCCCTCGTACTATGTGGGGGAAATTGGTGTGTATCGCCTACGCCGTGTTAGGGATCCCGCTCACTCTTCTCTTCTTGACAAACATCGGTGACGTCATGGCAGATATATTCCGCTATATCTACGCCAAAGTCTGCTGCTGCGGTTGTATTAGAAAGAAGAATAAAGATAAGGTATATTCAGAAAGTACTGAAACCCACCTAGTAATTCATTATGTTTTCAATTACGGGATCATGTGGGCACGTATTTTAATTTGATTTCTGGTGTTGGATAGATGGGGATAAAAAAAGAATTATGAACTATTTTATATTTGCATAAGTTAGACAAACGCATTAATTCATTTTAAACCTTCCATGTCAATGTTTTTTTTTATCTTGTATTTTCATAGCCCACCAAACGGTCAGTCGGTATCCCATTGTTCCGTATATCAACTCTATTTTTAGAATAAAAGGTGAAACAGCATGTTAACGTCAATAATCAATAATTTCTAAATTTCAACAATTGATCTTTACCATTATTTATTTGCATTATTGGACTTTAATAATGATGTTTTATCTTATATATCAAATATACGCCTTCTGTTAACAGGTACAAGAAATTCGAACCCCGTCACCAACCAAGGGTTGGAAACTCGACGAAACCGGTAAACCTCTTCCTCCGTCCAGAGAGCCGACCATCATAGATAATGATGATGACGATGATGACGAAGAGGAAGAAAAGATTACCGTGCCCCTTACTGTTACCATGTTAGTGATCATAGGGTGGCTTCTAGGAGGATCTGTCTTGTATAGTAAGTGGCCATACCTTAGATTTCTGTAGTATTTCAATTTTTATTTTTATAGAAATGCTTTGAAATTTAAAAGGATGATTAAGAAGATGTAAACATGATATTCTGCAGTGAAAATAATCGCTTTTCTTTCCAAACATCTATAAATCATATAGCAATTTGGCATTTCTCGTCTTCTTTCCATATATTAAGTCAGTCGTCGTAAATATCCCTCGTCAAACAAAAAGCTTCTCTCTTCCTGAGCTTAACTGGGTAATGACGTCATTTTTGAATTTCTGTACAAAAATTCTCAGAGTAGGCCTACAGAAATGTGAACAGAATTAGACAGAATAATATCTGTGAATATTTAGCGAAATATTCTCTATGTGACACTGGTTGTGGGTTATAATAGTCTATGGTTAAAATTTTATAATCTTTACTTTATTCGTTTTCCAGCCGTGTGGTATAAAGATTGGAAGTGGTACTCTTCCTTCTACTTTTGTTTCATCACCATGTCCACCATCGGTTTCGGTGACTATTATCCCTCTGTGGATAACGGCCTTGGAACCGTGGAGGACATCATGATCATGGTGTCAGCCTGGACCTACACCATCGTTGGCATGGCGTTTCTGGCCATGGGATTTAACTTGATGCAGGACGAGATCGTCGACAAGTTTAAGTGGATTGGAGAGAAACTTGGTTTTTACAAAAAGGAGGAAGAGGAAGGGGAGGAGGCAGAGGAGTAAAGGCGATGGAGGAGGAGGAGGAGGAGGAGTAAATGCGAGAAAGGGAGGAGGAGGTGCAAGGGCGAGAAAAGGAGGAGGAGGAGTAAAGACGAGAGGAGGAAAAAGGTTAAATTGCACGTTTGAAATCAAACCAATAAACAGTGAGCAATGATTATGCCCTGTCATAATCCGTCCATCACTACATAGACACTTCATGTTAATTTTCTGTGATTTTGTGATGTCCGTGTAGTTCTAATAATTGTTAACTTATTAAAAGTATATTTACAAACGGAATAAACAGGTTGCCAGGTTATGTCTCAATCAATCGCCAAGGAACGAAGAGAATTTTCATAATTCTTTACACGTCAATAATATACAGTACATTTATATGAAGTCCGCCAGAAAACCGTAAATATTTAAATTTGGTTCTGTAAATTCCTTAAGGTTAAGCACTGGATAATGATGAAAATTACTCGGGATGGAGGAGATATGAAATAGCGTTTATTCAGCTGTAATTCAAGGTTTAGTGAAAGCTACTGTTGCTTGAAGTAAATTCTCAATATACCCCTTTTTGCCATCAGCCGTGTATTTTATATAAAAAACTATGCACATATTTTTTCCTTGTTTTATGCCCTTGAAGCATCCGTCCAGTGTCAACTTTGAGGTTCGTTGTGCGTTTTATCTTAAAACCATGGTAATAATACAAAGTGTTTACGATAATATCACGTCCATGAATTAATTAAAAATTCAATATTCAGACCAAATGTGGACTGTACATTAGATTGTTCGCTGTGCCTGTTTTGTTTACTCCGCCCATGGATACACCTTTATACTGGAAGACAATGTTCTGTTTAAGAAGAATCTCAACCCGAAGCATTGTCAACAATCATTCTCATAGTATGTTTGAAAAATTGACTGTTTTTGCTGAACCAACCAATTGTTATAGTGAGGAATGACGACAGCAGTTTGGAGCTTTCGAACGTTTATTCACCGACTCCCTTTTTCACAGAATGTACAAGTTTTTATACACTGTTTTCCATTCTCAAATTTCCCATTCTCATGTTACAAAACTCTATTCAATATTTCCTAATTTAGTAATTTAAATGAGACTTGTTTATGATTTAAAATATTTAAAATATTTTCCGAATTACTCATCTTGGATCCTGTCCAATTCAAGAATGCATGAGTTCTACACGTGTGTAACACGCGCAAATTGATAGAAAAATTAACCAATCAGATCCAACTATATCGGACTCTGAAACGTTCCACCATTTCCTTCTTCGAGAACAGTCTCTACACTCGTTGACACATTAAGACATTTACTTTGCACTCAATAACTTCCTACACATTTGATTCTGTTTTGAATGTTTTGTAATTATCGAAAGTGTATGTCATTTGCTTTACAACATACACCCCTTCTCCAAAAGAATTCGTCCTCGAATTCTAAAACTTTACAACATACGCTCCTTTTTCATTTTTCTAAAGCAAAGCAAATACTAAATAACATAAAATACTTAAATTTTCAAAAAAACTTAAACGATAAGGTCACATATATGTAATCAATTTAAATGTTATACCCAAGTTCATCAATTTCTGCAAAATTAAATAAAACAATAATACAATTAATGATAACTTTCGTTAAACACTTCATGTCTATCATAAAGTCAAGCAAAAATATAACTAAGAAAAGTAATTCTATATAATTAACTTATACATAAAGTTAAAAACACATTCGACATGAAACTAAAATATATAACTTGAAGGAAGATAATGTAATAACTTTTTAAGAAAATGCAATTCTTCGTAGATATAGTTCGTATTGTCATTTACACCATTTAATGTGTGGCCCAAGAGCAAAGATACTTTTTACTAGTTTTTTTATGCGGATATCGAAATATTTTGCTCTCTTATTATGGCTCTGACACATCATATTATACAGTTTTCTCTTTAGGTTGTCATTTAAGACATAGTAGGAATGCACTACGTTAGACAATAGGGTTGATCACTCCCTGTCCAATGAACAGCACTCACCACAACGTTGCGACCAGCGCATCGCTCATGATGAAGTACATATTCATCTTCATATTTGTCTACACTCTAGCTATCCTCTGTGATGACTATAAGAGAAACACTTGATCATATCAAATTCAATCCACGAATTTTATAAAATTATACCGATAAATAATTAAGTCGCAAAATGTGAGAATCTTCCTTAATGCATACCATCAGTTTCATGTCATCATTATTAAAAAAAAATTAAATACACTGTGCATATAACAATAATCATTTGTTCAAACATCTATGACCAACAATCATAATATTGATAAACCAAATATATTTATAATTATAACATTATTATATATCAAAGTACATAGTGATTTTTTTAAAAAATCATAATATTCATCAGGATTTAAGTGTCATATTGTTTCCGTGCATCTCGCACACTCTCAATAATAATAATAATATATAGATTAGTGTCTGAAATCCTTTAAGTAGCAATAAGAATGAATCATAAAATCATTAATATTTTGTGATCGTACACACACTTCTTATACCAAAAGTTCACTCGCAAAGATTAATCCGTTATGTTAATTATAGACACGTGTAGCAAGTCAAGTCAAATTCACTTTGGATTGAAATTAAACTGCATTGTGATCAAATGGTTCGAACTGAATATAGAAAAGTGCACATCATGTCTAATGCGCAAAAATGTACAATATTTGTTCTTGAATAATTTTCTGGGTTTTAAAGTGACAATGGGAGAACTCGTTCCAAAATAACTTTTTTGTTGATCATAATGTTTATACTTGCCAAGCCATGCCAATGTTTTGACAGATGTAGTCTGTAGATACAAATACCTAAATGAACTTGTCGCAATTATTATAGTTATTACTTCACTTTGCAATATGAATGAATCTGTGGTTCTAAGTTTCTTCAGCTTATTAATTTATTTTGTTGCGAAATTTTATAATCACTACGGTATAGTAAGCACTATATCGTTTACGTATGCTTCTTTAAGTAAAGCCACTATTAGTGCCAATTGCCTGACCTTGACAAACAGACCAAATTTCATCACGAGCAATAAGCTCTGTATCCCGAATAAATATTTGAGGTGAATCATCTGTAGGAAATATTTCGTCTGCTAGAATAACATCTGCCATACAAGTATATATAGGTTTGCTCTTAATTGTCTCTTGCTGTTTGAGCCATGTTTAGCAATCTCAAATGATAACATATCTTTGGCAAGAAAATGAGAAAAAAAATTGTGAATATAACTGAAGAAGAGCTGATTCTGAATTTAAAGGTTCACTAAATAAACCATTGTGTTTCATGTTGAAAATATACATGGTGAATAGAAATATGCAACAAACCAAATTTAATGGATATAGCTGTGCTGTCTAAGTGTTGTTTTGGCAACTTGCCACTTGGGTGGGAAATAAAAATACATCTAAGTTTAAATTGTAAAAGCTAAAAAAAATTGAATGACACATTAATGACAACTACTTAAAGAGGTCGTTGTTCTAGGGCATTCCGGGGTAATGTCAATGACTGACTTGTCAAAACATCTCGTCTGTATTTTATCAGGTTACTATATGCCTTCCATTGTGATGTGGCGTGAACCTTGTGATAACTTGTATTACATCGTTTGGATGTAACGTTTACTCATATGAATAAGATCAATGTTCTTTGTTAAATAGTTCTTAAGAAACAAAATGTTTACACTCAACACCGCTGAGCGTGCTGATGCTGCCACAACATTACAGTAAAAATTCATAGAATCATCATTTCAAAAGGTCAATGCTCATGGCTTTTTCAGTGTATACTGCATTAACTTAGCCTCTTTTAGAAAAAAAATAGAAAATAAGAGTAGACAGAAAAATAGTAAACCGGTTTACATTTAAGGTTCAGTTAAGCTGTCTCACTGTTGTTCAAATTATACATTTGACCTTTGTGTACTTTTTTACAATGTGTAAGTGTACTATCTTTTGATTTACCAGTGTATGTATTATCGAACTCGTCTCGAAGAGATGTGTTTCCTTTTTAATTTTTACGTTTTCTTCGTCTTCCTTGTAACGTCTTATTGATATGATAATCTCTTTTTAATGCATCTGAAATATTTTCTTCAGGTTCCCAGGAAGTATTCTTATAACCCTTCCATTTTACTTTGTAATGTCTCTTTGCGTTTATATTCTTACAACATAGCAATTTTTCTACTTCATAATATTCGTACGCGTCTTGCTTCTTGTCCGATGCAAGTTCCGCTTTTTCTATTTCACGATGTCTCTATCTTGTGTTTCACTGGTCGTTTTATTCCCATTTGATTTGTTGTCTTGCTCATCATTACTTTCATTTAGCCTTTCGTATTTATTGTAATCTTTAGGGTCATAATACATTTTCAATCTATTTGCATGAACAGGCGATTTATGTTCCTTTTTTTTTATAATCTCTCAAATAATACGTGCACCCTGTTGATAATATCTTTGTAATGTAATATGGTCCTTTGTATTTAATGTACAATTTAGAACTTAATCCTTTAGGTGTCATTGGAGTATATATCCAAACTCTATCACCTACTTTATAAATCGGTTGCTTTGATTTAAGGTCATACCTTGCTTTATACTGTTTCTGAGTCACTTCCCTATTCTTTGTTGCAATTTCTTTTGCCGTTTTAAGGGTGTCTTTCAATTCTTCAATGTACTGAGGTAAATTTTTATTCTCATGATGTTCAGGGATTAAATCACTATCCAATGGCGTACGCATTTCTCGTCCAAAAACTAAATAATAAGGAGAAAACTTTGTAGACTGTGTACAAGGAGTTGCACGTAATGCCATCATTACTCCTGGAAGGATATCAGGCCAATTAGTTTGATCTTTCTCACAATATGCTCTCAAAGTTTGCGCAATTATTGAATTAGTTCTTTCACAGGCTGCGTTACTTTGTGGATGCCATGCACTAGTATGATATCGCTTGATATGGAATAATTTACACAACGATTGAATGATTCGAGACAAAAAATTCTTTCCTCGATCAGAAACGAGATATGACGGACAACCATATCTTGTAAACACTTCTCTGTAAAGAGCCTTGGCGATTTCTCCGGCTTCCTGAGTTTTCAAAGGTATTGCTTCAGCAAAATTAGAAAAAGAACACGTTACCAACAAAATGTACTTATATCCTTCTTTTGATTTGATTAAGGGACCTAATATATCCATGTGCATTCTTTCAAACACGCCTGCGATGGGTAAAGGGTTCAAAGGTGCAGGAGCATCTCTACGTAAATGCTTAACCTTTTGACACACTTCACATGATTTGACGTACTCCATGACGTCTTTGTAAAGTGACTTCCAAAAATACTTATTCCTAATGGAGGCAAAAGTTCTATCACAACCTTGATGACCGCCGGCTGT